AGAAAATATTTGGTGATTTGATCGCTCGCTACAGTGATACCTTAAAGATATTATTGTGATACGCAAGCTATGACTCGTCTTCTAGGTAAACTTAACTCTGTACACAAAATCACATAAATTTCATATATGAGGAAGAAAAGATGCAAGCAATTTGCATTCCTAGACTTATTCTTTTCAGTCGGAGAGAGGATAGCTCAATTGACCAATCGATTTATAGAAAGAAAGCCTACTCGAGTAGGTTAATATTTAAATTCTCACGTTTTCTATCCATTACAGTATAATAGAGGCTTAGTAAGTACTTATACAAGAGGATTCAGCGTATCTGTACAATTGATCGATACACTTATCGAAAACAGATATCCTTCGAGGTTTTTGAACCGGTATAGTGGTCAGTTAGTCTCAGAGCCTACAGTCTATTCCGTCTTAAAGACAGATATATCTACATCGAATTACCTTGCAATAGGAAAACTTCTGTCATCCACAAAATCGACTATGCAGCCTGACTTATAATTATTGAAGAAGTTAACAACATACTCCACCACAAGGCTCAACATGGCATGAGTGATTATGTCACACATTGGAATAGATATCAATTTCTATATGTGTGTGGTCACGTATGCATACATACACTGCGGTTCTCTCTGTCTTCTTCCTTTATAACTGTAACACATGGTCATCGAAAGTGGAAGATATAAAAAGGTGATCCGTTTTTGATCCTTGATGTCTGTCTTCTATTTTCCGTGTTGCGTGTATAATACAGTGAGTAATATTTGAAGTTAAGAGTCGAGTGTCAGGTAAGTAAGGAGGAAGGTCAATGAATGCATGGGGTTGTGAAGGTACATCAACTGAGGTGGCTAGGACGTGTTACACACAAGCTTTACTCGAGGGGCAATGTCAAGTGATATAGGACCAGATTAGAAAACATCTAATGGTAGTCAAAGCAAAACTTGAAAATTAGTCCATGAAAACTCTGACAGTTAGTTTGAGGCACGTAGGGAGGTGTAGGCTGCTATCTGGTTGGGTTTATTAGGATTCTAAGAATTAATGTCTGGCGACAGTTTGTCATATGGCTGGGAATCATTGTCATGGGTTCAGATGCACTCACACTTTCTGATCTGTTATATCCGTTATACTCTGTTGTTTTTAGAATTTCATCATGAACTGACATCGGTCAGAGAACCATTGGATAGCCTCAGAGTAATGCACAACTGTTTCACCCTAGTCTGAGACTCTTCATAAGTACCTGCCCATTGATGGGTTCGAATTCAGGGCCTTCAGGTTACAAGCCAACCACGTAGACCAACTATTCAGCCAGTGTGGGGGGCGGCCAATTTGCCGACCAGTGCATAAATTCCAACTTCTAACAATTCAAGATATAGCTCGACTTGCACTAGCCAGTGTCAGCGGTGGCGAGTATTTGTCTTCACAGCTGACCTGCTCTACCCAGCTAACCAGTCTCATGCTGAATGGCGACTGACCCTATTGAGGTAGACAGTTACCCGGGGTAGCGCAGGTCAGCTGTGAGGGCAAATATTCGCCACGGATGACTTTGGCTAGTGCCAGTCAGAAGTTGGAGAGCAGGGTAACCAAAAATGGTAGACAGCATTTTACGTCAATGGATATGTCGCAAATATTGGTGGTGAGAAAATATGAACAAGACTGATTCAACAACCAGTCACAGCAGACTTGGCGTTTAGATGATCTGACATTCAAGAAACAGTCACAAAGAGATGCAAAGTCAACTTTCTGTAAGAAACAACCAATCAGAAGAGTGTGTCCATCTGCTTGAATAAGCTGTAATAATGTACATGAAATATAAATAAATACATGTTGATTTCCTTAATAAACGATCTGTTGCTTGACTCTTGTCTTATGTCGTTACACTGGTAGTTGGACCGGGTTCTGGCGGCTGAATAGTTGGTCTTCACGGTTGGCTTGTGATCAGAATGTCCTCAGTTCGAATTCTAGCGGGGGGAAGGTACTGATGAAGAGCCGTAGACAAGGACGAGACTGTTGTTCAATATTCCAAGGGTTTCCGACAGTTCTCTAAAACATGTCAGCTCATGATGAAATCTCCCCTCCTATTTGATGTATAAACTCATAGTAGATGCTGGTGACCTGAAATTCATCACTGTTTGAGATACGTCGGTGGTTTGGTGGTGGAACACCTACCAACCACTAGTTTAGTCCTGATTTCGATCTCCGGTTGGCGCACTCCTAAACCTCGCTTAGCTAGTTGTAAACCCAGTAACAAATAGGAAAGGCTGACCGCCAGACTAGCCACCTTCATCTCATAAAAGAAACACCATTGCAATTGAAACTTTAAAGCCCTATGTTTCCCTTGGGACTCACATAGAGATGGAAAAAACACAAACATTAATGATATTTATTTAAACTCTGATTATCTGTCCACTTCACCTTTAGTATTACATAACTTTTAAGATCTGACCTAATTTATTTATTTATTTATTGAATTGTCTATATATACACATATTACTACCTTTGTTATTCTTATCGCCACCTGCATAAACCTTATTATCAATATTTTTTTATCATTATAATCATCGTTTTTAACTACCTTCAAAACATTTACATTATTATTATTATTATTATTATTTGATCCACAAAATCACCGTCATTGGTTAAAAAAGATTTTTATATATAAATTTACGTAAATTAGAGTAAAACCTGAAGAAGATCTAATTGGAAACAACAGTATTGTTCGCTTATATGTCTTGGTCTAATATTTAAAAAAATGGAATATGTAAAGATTTGATTAATTCACATAGTGTCATGCAGTATTATTTACTGATAACGTTCAAAAAAGTCATATAATTTCTGAATACATACTCCAATTATGACAAGTAAAACTGCATGAGTAGTTGAACATTTCGCCAAATTGTGTATACAAGAAGAACTCTATAGAATTATTAAGAAACTAAACAATTTACGAAATGAAATTGACAAACTGAAATGTATGATCAATGAGAAACATTATGCAATCCTAGCTGAGTTATTCCAAAGTAGCTAGAGAAGCTGCCTTAAGAAATTCAAAAATCTGGTGGGAAAAAACAAAACACAATGATTGAGGAAGATTGACGACTATATTTCATCGACTATTGATGAAACAAAGTGCATAGTCGATCCCCCGTCGACAGAACTAAGCTATAACGAGATAAAAGTACTTGAAAAAGGATCAACGAATTGAAGGTAGAGGAGGTAGTATTAATTTCACTAGATAAGGTGATACCAGAAATAATTTAAACACAATGAGCAGAAGAAAAGGAAGTACAGTCAAACTTAACAAAATCTGAAAAAGTAGGCCTTTTTAATCTCAAACAGGATAAAAGCATAGTCATTACATTATATTCACCCTTATTTATTGATTTATTCATTCATTCATATGTCTAATCATTTTGTGACTCGTGTATATAAATGAATTTGGAAAGTTGTGTGAATCCCCTTACATGATTGTGAGCAATAAATTGTGCTCAAGATGTCATCAGAGAGTAATACTGTGTAATTTTATCAAGTAAGTTAACTTTATGATGGAAATATACTCCACAGAAATTCTTCTGATTTAGTTGTCTTCTCTGAGCTGGTTGGATACTTAATTGAGGTGCTTTCATCGTCCACCTCCTAGCCAACATCTTCAGTGCAGATTTTAATATAAAATGAACCTATTTGAATTCCGCATGAACGGTGATATAATTGTATTTCATGGGAACCACTCTCGTGACTGGTTGTTGTTAATTTACGTCTCCATCGATCATTTTTATTGATTTCGAATCCGGACTTCCTTGTCATCTCATTTACTTTCTATTAGCTGATAAATTTGGTCTATGTCAATATGTTTGTTCATTACTGATTCACTTGAGTACGAGGATTCTACGAATTCCCCGGCACTATTTTCGGTGTTTCCTCTATTTAAAATTTCTACATTACTCCAAACTAACTGATATCCGTAATTATCTACATGCATTGATATGAACGCATATATATATATATCCTGCCTTTTTACAGCTGATTTGTGCTCTTGGATTATTCGGATTCGAAAGGGACGCCCAATTCGACGACCGATGCAATGTTTATTGCAATTCATACATACAGCTTATTTTGTAAATGCCTTCTTTTTGTGTTGTATCTCTTAGTTTACACAGTATCGAATGAAGTGATTGTGTTGACTAGCTAGCTGGCTTATGTGCTATATCTATTTCAAACGGTCTTATTATTCTAGCCGTTATTTCAGAGACACTTTTTATATATGTGACAGAGTGAATTTTCTCGTTGTCTCTGATTATAGTTCCATGTTTACAATCGAGTCATAACACGTAAATTCGCAACTAATAACAACAATGATGGCCAGGAGATACAACTGATTATATCATTATTCATAGAGAAATCTAATGAGTTCATTTCACACTAAAGTCTGAGCTGAAGATGTTGTCTAGAAGGTGGACGACGACAGATTCACAATTAAATCAACCATCTCAGAGAGCAAAACTAAGTCAAAATCATCCACTTGAGCTACAAATCTTCTTCATTACTCTACTCTGGTGTTCAAATTCTATTATGATATCAATTTATTACTGATCACGACATGAATTCAGTTTCTTCCACTAGTCCGAACACTTTTTAGATATCCCTACCTGGTAAGTTTATCGACTGCGGGAATTTACGACTTTCAACCTGGAGCAGTTGATGATGTATAGTCTAGTGAGTTTCTTGAATGAATGGTAGAATCTCTGATTTACTCAGATATCTGATTTCTTTGATCTAAACACACTGATATACTGTAGTGATGGCAATCTTATCAGCTATTAAATGTATTCCCCATATTGTGGGTCAGTGGCACATTGGTTAGTACTCTCACTGACCATGCATATGTTCCGAGGTTCCATCCCCTGCTGAAGCACACCTGATATCTATGGTCGGCCTGCGAAATTTAGGCTATCGATATCCATGCTGAAAATCCCATACTTTTACCAAAAATACAGTGTGGAATCAAGCTGTAATCAAAAATATAAAAATAAAAAGTATATCGACTGATTGAAAGATAGATGCTTATGAGGTATCCTTTGAAACATGTTATCTAGCCTTCACTTTATTTATTATCGCATATATTTTTGCCTGTACGTTAGTAGAAGTTTTTCAGGTCAGCTGTTGAAGATAAATCTCGAAATATGCTTGGGATTATAGTAGACTGTAGACTTGTAGTAATTTATTGTAATTGAAATATTAATATACCGGGATGACGGAATTATAGGAATCTAATCAAAATCCAGAGAGGGCAGCAATCAGTAATTTGTATTTAGCGGAATTATTATGCAATTCATATAAGAAACATATCAACAGTCAACAGTAAGTATTTAAACAATACAGAGATAGAAATTGTCAATCACCACATCCGCCACACCTCGAATATCTCCTCGCGTATTTATAACGATGTCTCGGTCTGCTTGCAAGTAGCTTCGAGCTAACTGATTCTGTGATATTATTTTCATCAGTACTATCTGGACTTATTTCTGAATTATCTACAAAATCAGGATTATTAGTGGAATCAATAATATTATAATTGGAACGACCTACTTCATTTATTGTCACTTTGTCCAGGTGTCCGTTATAAACTGAGTGATCTTTGATGTCTAATATCTTCACCACTCGATTTCCCATTTTTTGTAGTATAATTCCAACAGAAGGTCTGTAGTTATTATCTTTGTAATAATGTACATTAGAAGTAGTGGACATCAGATGCTTTTTGAGAATTCGAGATATGAATAGTTTTGCAGGACTTTCACAAGAACTTGTATGCTCTGGATTCACCAGACGTAGTCTATGCATATGCAGTAATTCCTCAATTTTATTCAATTGCTCTCTCATCTCATTCAGGTCTTTTCGTGCTTTCGACAGTTCACATTGCAACTTGGCTACCTCATTTTTGAATACAGTTGATACTTGCGTCGCTGAACTTGCAGTGGAGGTTTTCGTTGGATTAGCTTGAGTATTTTGAAAAGTTGAAAGACACATAGACTCCATTTTACTAGACAGCTTGGGAGAATTATAAGAATGTTGAGCAACATAAGTACTCGAACTCCTGCAAACCGTCTTGATGTGTCCAACTTTACCACATTTATAGCACTTAGCACTCCGAAAACGGCAAGTGCTTCGTAGATGTAACTTTCCACAGGATAAACACGGTTTAATGTTTTTGATCTCTGGCTGCATTCTATTACCTGTGGACGGCAGTTTGGATTTCTTTCCATGAACACTTGTATTTTCGACTTTGGACAGCATGACATCAGATACTGACGTAGTGGGAGCAGAGTATTCATTATTGACATCTTCATATGTAATACATACCTCTTTAGCAGTTTGAAACGTACAAGAAGGAATCTGAATTAACTCCTTCTCTAACTTAGGAATGTTGATTCCAGCAATTAGACGATCACGTAGTTGTGTATGCAGCTGATCTCCAAAATTACACTTTGAGGCTTGAATTTGAAGTTGAAGAATAAAGTCTCTAATCTTCTGATTGGGAGAACGTACTAGTTTGTTGAAGTGAGCCCTCTCTCTGGTCTCAAAAGTAGTTACATGGAAATGATCTATAAGAAGTTCACGGAGCTTAGCATATGGCATAGAAATGGGTTTATCTGGAAACGCCAGATTCTTCACCAGGCTATATGCATCAAGACCAATAGCGGTGACGAAATGAGCAGGTATTTTATCATCCCGAACATTCTTGGAAATGCACCACGCATCAAAGCATTCCAAATAATCAGCAATCTCTCGCGGAGACCCATTAATGGGGAATTTTCCCAGGTTACTTAGCTCCATCGCGACGCCAATTTGTAGTAATTTATTGTACTTGAAGTATTAATATACCGGGATGACGGAATTATAGGAATCTAATCAAAATCCAGAGAGGGCAGCAATCAGTAATTTGTATTTAGCGGAATTAGAATGCAATTCATATAAGAAACATATCAACAGTCAACAGTAAGTATTTAAACAATACAGAGATAGAAATTGTCAATCACCACAAGACTGCATCACAAGATTTGAATACTTTTTAATGTTGAGAAATTGATGCTGTCTCAGGAGTTCACAAGGCAATTCATATTTCTTTACACGCACACACACACATCAAAGCCCGTGTTTATCGCAAATTGTTTTCAGGTGTTTACTGTAAATGTATGTGCATACAAAAATTCTTTCAGTGATCTGGACATCGAGACAGGCATTAATTAAGCCCGAGTGTGACTGAAGTCTCAGACCCTTTGAATAGATTGTTGATTACAGTAATCTGCCAACATCCGTTATATGTTCAACAGCAATTTCTTTTTCAAACTGTATTCAACATGAAAATTTGCACAGATGTGCAGAAGTTCGAGTTGCTACACTCCATGTACCACAAAAAGCAAGAGAAGAGAGTAAAGCAAGATTCAAAAGACAGATAATGAACAGAAGTGTGAATGAGGGCAAAAGAATAGTAATATGGGGAGAACAATAGAGTTTTATCGGTTATAAAAAAATCACAAAGAGTAAATGCATCTACGCCAGTCATTGAGAACAATTTTGAGAGATATCCTTTACAATGGTGAAGCAGATTCTTTCAGGTGTATTGGCAACGCATGGAGTAGTTGAATCACACGCGATTGGAGATATACTACCAGATGGTAGTGTGAACGGCTTGTTTTCTTTCGACTATTGTTAGCAGTACACACATTACCAAACAAGAATGATCCCCAATATGTTAACTGCTTTATAGAGATGGCGGCAATAGAACCAAAAAACGTATTATATACTGCCGTGTATCCTACTACCAACTTCACAGATAGCCTTTTGTCATGAACATCTAGGTAAAACACTCGTTCTGTTTCAACAATCCATTAGTACTTCCATGAGACCTTTCGTAAAGACTGACGTCATCACTCTTACCACCAAACAACGCAATTAATTCGCAGGTCTCCATGCTTCTTAACTTAATGAAAAAATTGTTAAGACCTGAAGGGACATGTTCATTCATACTGAAACAATGACGCAGCTGTTAATGATTAGTGCCAAGATTACTCAGAACGCCAATGTGGAGTTCACCTTGACGACAGGAGAAGAAATGGTGATACTGTAGTAATTTATTGTAATCGTAGTATTAGTATTTCGAGATGACTGAATTACAAGAATCCAAACAAAACACAGAGAGGGCGGAATTCGAAATTTGTATTTAGCGGAATTCTAATGCAATTCATATATGAAACGTATTAGCGATCAACAGTAAGTACTTAAAAAATACAGAGATAGAGATTGTCAATCACCACAGATACTTAGCGCGTTCCTCAATAATCTGAAGTATAAGGTGTAGATAAATTATTCTACCGTTATTTTTCGTAATTTTATCTTGACTTCCTCTTTTATGCTGAAATATACCGCTGGCAAGACCACATTAATACTCATCAGTCATTAATTTTATGCATTTATTCCCCTTGATGAATTTGAATAAGTCAAGAACAACAGTGGTTTGTGCAGAATTATATGGTACCATCACTGTTTATTTCTCTGGCTTCTCATCAGCTGCTTAGAGCCTAAATAAATTATGAGGTTCATGTAGATAAAAGTTTTAACATACTTGCAAATTTTTCATGGTGTCAATTGGCAGAAGGTTCCACAATTAGTGGACAGTGATCAGAAAATCGCACTTATATAGTTTCTACGCAGGCCTTTCAAGTTTAAACCAAATAAATGTATGCATACAATGGTAAAAGAGTTATGCAATAAAGACAAGAGATGCGTAAGATACAGAGTGACTTATAAACTGGGTAACAATGTACTGAGGTCAACTCAAATCATAGAAACAAGAGACAAGCAAAATTACAAATTATAAAGGCGGGAAGAGGTTAAAGACGATGATTACGTAATCAAATGAGAGAGTAAAGACTTCCAGTTACCAGGGCAAGGAAAGACTAATAACAGCTTTCTCTAACTCATAAATCTGGATTCAAGCGTTTGATAGAAATTGCTTAGTCAAACTTGAGGGGAATCGGGCTCTTTTGTCTACTAATAACTTTAAAGGATTTCGCGAAAATGTCAACCAAAAAAGTCAGAATTTCGTGCTAGCAATTGGCATGTGTAGTCTCATTTTCTATATGATCACATTTATGATAAAGCAATGAAGCGTATTTTGACAGATAGCATATTTGTAGCAGCAGTCTGACCCCCAAGAACTAGTTGACTCCTGTAACCGTATGAAAACCTGGTGTCTTTACCTAGCAGTCTGGCCATATTTGAAAGCTGTTGACTGATGGAACGGTTGCTATGTCGACCGTTGGTTGATCCTGGATGGAGCAGATTCCAAAGAAAAAAGGTAGTCATTGCCCTTGTTTCTGCCCCCAGAATAGAAGTTCTGCTGAGGTTACCACAGAGAGACTTGCAAGTCTTTCTAGGACTGATGACTAGCACAATTTCTGCATTATACTAGCCACTCACCAGGCCATTTTCCTTACTTCAAGCACTAGTTCATCAGTTACTAACGCCATTTCCTTACTGACCAGTGTTTTCGTCAAATCATATGACTACTAATGGTATGGTTGGAAATTTCGTTTCATGATAGTTATGACATATGATATCCCATGCTTGTGAACGTCATTCGAGAAATCACTCGTTTGTCATTCCAAATACATTCGTCTTAAAAATTGAAGTTCACCTCCAGGCTAGTGCGAAAGAATCATCTTGCAAAAAGGCGAAATTTTGAATTAGTTAAAGAAGTCATACGTCCATAGGGCATTCACCAGTTACACTCAGAAACGTCAGCTTACATAACTACCACTGTTGCCTCCCACAACGTTTGCTTGCAGTCACCAGAAATGAAAGATTTCACACAAAGTATGATTTTTAATATCTATACTGTGTCTTATAAAATTACCTATCTTTCAAAGACAGGAAGGGGCTGATCCACATTCACAATTCTTGGTAGTCATACCTGCTTTTCCACAGCAGTCGACCAAGTGCGTTGCTGCACACACATTCATTCCAGGAGTTATGAAGCAAGTGGCCAAGTAGAAGTGGCTCGACTTACCTTTAACTCTAGGAGACTACAAACAGCAGAAACAAATCAAAAAATATTCGATAGAAAACCTCTGGATGCGTTATGTTCAATAGGCACTCGATGAGGAGTAATGAATTCATAATTATCACGAATAACAAGCCACACACGCACTCTCTAAACTCAACGTTAGATTGATATACAACAAAGGAATTAGACACTTAGATTACGCTTCACAGTTTGCATAGGCTATTCGCCAGATTTCCGTAATCCATAACCCTGTGGCAGCTGCCATGCTGTGTATTTGGTCCTCCTTTAAAATAGGTGGTGTAGCGGTAAATAATTCCCCAAAATTATTGACCACAGCAATCACTCATTGGATGCTGACCACCACTGTTTAAGTCGACTTGTTTAGCTGAAGGCTTCCGGTCAAGCATCCCCGCCATTTGGTACCCCGTCGTGTCACGTGCACGATCACTAGCTAGCTAAGCGTTCGTCTGACGGCTTGTTTTGGTCCCGAAATATATCACTTAGTTTGGACGATCAAATATTGGCTTTTGCTTTGTTGTTGGTACGCGAGAATAATTAGAGGCTGTGTAAGATAATTCCGTCAACCCTCTAAACTGGTGAGCCCAACCGCGAACTTCATCCACGATAAATCCGCAGATAACCCCGGTGAGTTCGTTCCATTTTGTATTTGTTCTTGTACCATATATTATTCGACATAATTTTCGTCATGAGTGATCTTAGTCCCAAGGTCATTCGTATCCGCTCAACTCCTAAAACCATTCAGCTCGTACCATACTGGCCAGATAATGCTGAAACGTGGTTTCTGCTAGCTGAAGCAGATTTTTGTGAGCATGGGATAACCGATCAACGTTCACAGTTACTTGCAGTTATTCACGCCCTACCGCGGGAATTCAGCAAGTACGTAACATCACAGATGTTGAGTCCCGAGGTAAGTAACTCGTACGAGTTGCTCAAAGCATCCCTCCTCAGGAGAAACGTTCTCACGGACCGACAACGTCTAGATGAATTATTTCGTAACATCGAGTTAGGAGATCAGTCAGCCGTGAGCATGCTGACAAGAATGAAAGAAGTCGTTGGCCAAAGTCAGTTCGACGAAGGACTATTTAGAGAACTCTTCTTATCCAAGCTGCCACAGTCTGTACAGACCGTACTTGTGACACTTCAGGGTACTGTAATAGAGGACTTAGCTATTACTGCAGATAGGATTCTAGAAATAACTAAACGGTCAGTTCCCGAAATATGCTCGATGACTAAGCAGACTTCGAGTAAGGATCCTGCAATGATAGAGTTATGCAACTCCATCCAGCAGATGTTTAGGTCGAACATGCATTCTAACTCCTCCGACCGTCGTCCTAAATCTCCTCAACGCAGGAACTCACGTGGTCGATCTAAGTCCAAACCACGTTCACTGAAAAACCCTGACTGGTGCTGGTACCACAACACCTATGGCCAAGAAGCGAAGTGTTGCCGTAAGCCTTGTAACTTCGGAAATGTCTCAAAGTCTGTGGGAAACTATCCCGCCGGCACGCGTTAGCGGCAACCGTCGCCGGTGGCACTAGCCGCCTTCTTTACATCCATGATGTGATAAGCCAGACTCGATACTTAGTCGACACAGGCGCCGAAGTCAGCGTCCTTCCTGCTACAGCAGCAGATCGACAGAAGGAACCTACCTTCAACTTACAGGCTGCAAATGGAAAACCAATCGCAACCTTTGGTAGGAAATACGTCTATCTGAACGTAGGTTTACGCAAACCTATTCGATGGATTTTCCTTCTCGCTGACGTTACAATGCCCATCATTGGCACGGACCTACTTAATCATCATGATTTACTCGTAGACGTCCGCCGAAAACGACTGATTGACAATACTACTAGTCTGTCTATCAAAGGCATCAGCTA